ATTGTCATTTAGACAGTTTTGGAATAGTGTCGGCTGGTGATTTTACTACTGGAAATTTGATTGGCACGCTTGAAATGGGCAGATAATGCTAACAGCCGAATCGTACAATCCACTCATGCCTACCGCCGGCTCCATTGTTAACTTCGCTTCTCTTGTGTGCTTGTTGGGATGTATGCTTCTTTTCAACGTGACAGATGTGACCGTTGGACCTGATTTTTCAGGTAAACATACCTCTCATGGGAAATACATTTAGCCGCATACACACCCTGTTTCACGCTGGAAGGCGTGTAGGTAATGCGCAGGCCTTAACGCACGCTCCGACTGTGTCCAGTGCTGCCCATGAAAAGTTAACCGGGGCTAGAATATTTCAGATACCGCTTAAACGGCTTTAGGATAATGTTCACTAGTCGTTGCACCGATGGAAACTATTCTGACACGTTTGAAATGGGCAGATAGTGCTGGCGGCCGAAACGTAGTCTGCTCATGGCTATCACCGGCCCTACTGGTAACTCGGAGTGGACTTATCTCAGCGACGTTGTGTCCAGGAATCATTTGGAGCACCTTGCAGTAGTTTGTAAATGCAGAAAAGCTAGGCCATGCAGCAAAATTGGAGATTTTACTGGAGACGGCCGGAAGGTAAATGGAAGAGCTTGGTTTGAAAGGTGATACGTGGCCTGGCGTTGCCTGCCAAAACCTAGGCAGAGCAACGGCTCAGAAAGAGGTGTCGCCCATACTCATTTTGCAATTAATTCTCCCATTGGTTGCCATGGGGTAAATCTCAGCAATCTCAGAAGGGGGAGGAGGCGGGGTTCCATGAAACGTAGAGATCCCACGTTTCCTCGCGTGCAACCCGAAAGGCACATGATTGATTTCCCGTCCCAAATGCGACGGTTTTTCTCTTATGCCATGCGTGACTATCACACTACGTTTTTCAGACCAACACACGTTTCATGACATTCACATGTAGCTGCATGCGAACCTTGTGTTATGCTCACAGGCGGTTAGGTACTGCGTCGGCCTGAACGTACGCTGTGGGTTTGTGCCTAATAGCTCGTGGCGCATCATGTTTAATGCCGACAGAATCATGATACTCTGGCATCTGACGTGGTTTTGCTACATACGGCCCGCTGCCCCGCTCCTACTCTATCGCGCACTCTATTTCAAGAGAATTTGCAACAAGCACCACAGAACTGCTCTCTGTTGCCCTTGCCCTGAACACACGGTGTCCGTTCCTCCATTACTTAAGATTTCGTCAAACAGCGGAGTGTACTGTGCTTATGCAAAACGTTTGCTATCTCATCCACATACATTGTTATATCATCGTTACATCACTCGGTCTGATTCGATGCCGGGTTCACCGTAATCTGGCCTATGCTGTTACGGCGGTCAATGGCCTTGGCCGATCAGCTGATCGTTCATGCCACGTTTGTTCGCGCCAACTCGCCCGCCGCCAAGCGCGCGCACTTCGGCGCGTGGATGGAGATGTTCTTATTGGTCGGGCGGGAGAAGTTTCAAAAGCGTCGAAGCCAATCGGTACCGGACCGCGGACAGAGCACGACTTGGCGCATGGGTTGGTCTTTGGAGGCGGGATCAGGGCGAGGTCAAGCAAGGAGCAAGCAAATATGGAGCGAAGCGAATGTATCGCCTACCATTGCTGCGATTACCAACATGACAATTATTTTGTCGCGAGGCATCATTGCTGATACGCAATGCAGCAATAACATGACGTGCATGGCACGGCAAGAAGAGGCATTTTCGAGAAGTTTCACAAGAGCACAATGTTCGCGTTCGCACAAAGAGCACCGTTCGCTAACGGAGACGCTTCCATCCGGAATGTCATTCACTTGAGATACGATGACCTTTTATGTTAGGTCGGCACTAGACTACTCCTCGACGCCAAGCCTGATGCATGACGTAGCCACATGTTCATTGAATAGCGAAATGCATTTGCTGTAAGAGAACGTGGCATGTACCCGCCCGCACTTGTCCAAAAAGCCGACTGGCATCTGCGAGAGTCGGGCCTCTGCCGCCGCCTCAGCGGCCGACCCTTGACCCCCGGCGAATCGGGAGACCCGCAGTCACGTGACGCCCTCCGGCACCCAGTCAGATGCAGAGCTCGGAAGACAGCGAGGGCGAGGGCGCACGCCCCGCACAATCACACCACACTCACAATGCCATATCCTAAACAGTTCACGTTTGAACGTCCTGCACTGCATCGGTTCTCGGAGAGGTACACCAGACTGGCGAGCCAATGAGAGCACCAACAACTCTTCTACTGACTACAGAAAATCACGTTACTGTGCAGAGGTCACGCCGCCGGCGCCGGAGCAGGGGCTGCTGCGCAGAGGCGGATCCGGGCATCGCCGAGGGAGGCGGGCTGGCCGCCGTCTGCAGCGCCGCCGCGCGGGGCCACTGGAGGCTGAGAGACTCCGCGGTCCGCGGCACGACTATGATCGCGTTCTCACCCGACCGCCGCGTGCGCAACCATCTGGGTCCGCCGCTGCCGCTGGCCGTGCCACACCGGTCCACGTGGAACACCTGCCGGCGCGCACCGGGTTGGGAGCGGGTGAGCGGCCGACCGTCCACATCCCTCTCCGCTGCCTGGCGCGGCCGGCTCGGTTGACCCTGCGTCAGACCATCCGCCGGGTCTTCGGTGAGTCGGTTAGAAAATGTCACCATGACACGCTGTTCAGCATCAGGGCTCCAAAACTCCACAATCCCTATGTTGTTCATAGTCTGTCAGGCATGCAGAGGAGGAACAGGTCAGGGAAGAAGTGACATAGAAAATGGGAAAGCGCACCAATAATGTAATTTTCATGCAGCATAACAACATGCTTACAGGTCACACAACTGTAAGTTTGCTTGGTTGACCCCTACCAACCCATGCCTGTGCAGTCTGGGAATTCAAAGTAATCAATCAGACCTACTAAACAGATCAGCTTGCATTACAGGAATACTTTCACTGGTACAATGCAGTAGGACCTGGGCATAGGAGTTAGCAACAATGCATGTAAGTGTGCATTTGCGATCGAATCACTAAGCAGGCCATGATGGCTGACACATCAGTGTACCTACTGCGCCTCAGCCAGGTATGTCATGCTCTGCAACCGCTGACGACGTGTCATTACGGGAAAGCAAATAAGCCTGACTAACGCATTTTTCAACCAACAGTAGTAAACTACTTTATGGCAATAGCGTTACTCCTAAATGACAGATCTAGGGGCTCGAGGAAACCCTCCACATCACCCTACCCCATCCACAAACGCGTCGTGGGCGTTGCTATGCGTTGCTATGTAAATAACTAGGGCCTTGGTAAATAACCACGAGCCACCCAGGGCAAAACAACACCGGGTACTCCAAAGTTTTGACTAGTAGGTTCAACACATACTATAAGTATACCAGAATCGGGATTAACAACAGATTTAGTATGTTGTACCAAAAGTTGGCAGTGCTGTGCTAGCAGCATCTTTGGTTTGTTTGTGGCGATTAAGTGTAATCACGTTTCCCACTCGCAAGACACTTGAAGTGGGATGCGGTACTGGCAAGGCTATCTGACGAGGTAGAACCGTCCGGTCCGAAAAAGTGGCAACGTCGAGCTCGCGTGAGAATAGAGGTAGTTTGGAAGCAAAGCCTACATGACGTCAAGTATACCATATTTGATGACGTCAGTGGCACAGAGTCCTCTCAGTTAGCCAGCTGACTGCTACACAACACATTAGTTTGAATAGTGGGTATGTTCTGGTGGCGTGCTCCTGGCGGTTCCCCGTTGGACTGAAAAGAAATTATCCGTCATTTCGCTATTCGCACACATTTCTGGAATGAACAGTGAGTCCTGGAACAGTTTAGCCTTATTAGAATGTACGATTTTTGCATGTATGATGATATAACACGGGGTTATATGTCATGCGGCGCTTGTGGTGTATTGCATTCCATGACCACGCTTGTCGTTAGATAGCCTTGGGCTTGTCCAAGGCTGGTTTGTCGTTAGATAGCCTCAGGCTTGTCTGTGCCTTTTGTGCCTGGTGGCAGAGTTGAACAGCTCAACTTTGGGGGCGTGCGGCTGGCGCTTCCCGGTTGGACTCTGAATGAGTGGTCCACGGTTTTTTCATGCAAACACAATTCTGGAAGGGAGATTGAATCTCGGAATAGTTTGACCTAATCAGAATTTTATATTCTTTCGTGGGGTGTACATAACTAGGGGCTAAACGTCATGCGGCGTTTGTAGCGCATCGCGTGTCGCAGTTGCTTGGCGCCTTATATCAGTGGGTTGTGGCCAGTTGCCATAACTACGCCTCGTACGAGAGATTCCTGAGCAGTTTGTCTTGAATAATTGGTAGCATTTAAAATGCTCAGTCTGTGAACATTTTATTATGCATGTGTGTACAAACCCTGATGTAAAGAAACACTTGACAGTAGCATCATAAAGCCAATATCATAGGGTTTTACTGTACTTACCTTACTGCAATCACATTACTGTGATAAGAAGAGCGAGAGCTATTACAAATCAATATTGCAAATGTTCATATAATCATACTTATAGGCAAAGTAAATCATGCAAGCTGAGCTGTTCAACTCTGCCACCAGGCACAAACCGCACAGACAAGCCTACGGCTATCTAACGACAAGCCTGGTCATGGAATGCAATACGCCACAAACGCCGCATGACATATAACCCCGTGTTATATCATCATGCATGCAAAAATCGTACATTCTGATGAGGCTTAACTGTTCCATGACCCACTGCTCATTCCAGAAATGTGTGCGAATAGCGAAATGACGGATAATTTCTTCTCAGTCCAACGGGGAACCGCCAGCCGCACGCCACCAAGAAATGCCCACTATTCAAACTTATGGGTTGTGTAACAGTCAACTGGCTAACCGACAGGGCTCCGTGCCACTGACGTCATCAAATATGGTATACTTGACGTCATGCAGGCTTTGCTTCCAAACTACCTCTTTTCTCAAGCAAGCTCTATGTTGCCACTTTTTCGGACCGGACGGTTCTACCTCGTTAGATAGCCTTGGCCGATACGCAGGGATCGGAGGGCTGGGCATCAGCCAGCGATATGTAACGGGTAGCTATCAAGGCTATCGAGGCTATCTATCAAGGCTGGGCCTCGGCCAACAGCCTTTTTCGAAGATGTACCCCTCATTGGCAGCAGAGGGAGAGGTGAGCGAGACAGATGTGAATGGTGTTCCAATTGGTACAGGAAGTGGTGTGTGCAGAGCGGCGACGGCCGCGCTCGCAGTGAAATCGAAGAACAATTTCGACTTTATCGAGGGCCGCCACTTACTCCAGCAGACGACAGCCCCGCACATATTGAAGTGATGATTAAGTTCAGGAAAGGTGACAATTGTTAATGGTTTACTGGTGTGTATGAAGCACATTTTTTAAAGTAGAGCTGGAACCATTGCTTTGATTTGCTTGTTATGAATATTGGTTTTTAGGCAGCAGAATGAAATGAATATCAGATGCAATGTGACTTGAGCTGCCCGTGACTAATGACACTAAAAATTGCTGAATAAAGTGATTACTCTGCAGCCCACAATACCAATGATGATGTGAAAGCAGCCTGCTTGTTTTATCAAAAGGGCCTCCATAACATAATTAATATGGTTGGGTACTTGTCAACTAGATTTTGCACACAAATGTGATTAGTTTGTGGAGAGTCTGGAATAAAAGTACTATAGTGATGTGCACCTATTGGCCATGATTGGTAGTGAATTGGGAGCACAACAAATATCATTGTGATCTCATATTTTTCATGGTGAGAATCATTACATTAAGGATGTTTGTGACAGCAAAATGAGCCTGATCATGTTGATCTGTTGTTTAAAAGATGATGTACTTAAATCATGTGCATATATCTGAAGCGGGTTACAATTGATTGTAAGGGATATGATGGGCTGATAGGTATACATGGCTATGACTTGATTACAAATGTCAGGGTGTGCCTTTTTAAAAGCCTTTGGTCACATAAAACTTCTGCAGTATGGGAGAGAATTCATGTGCATGCTTAATGGTAGATGGATAAGGTAATGGGGTTGGATGGGGGAATTGTGATTAGTGGTAGATTAAGCTGGGGTAGGTTGTAAGAAACATCATTATGCATTGAATACCACAGGATAAACATTGTGTCTTCTTTTACTGTGCAGCTTGTGTTAATTTGTCACAACTGATTTACAGCATGTCACTAAGTACTATGTTTACCATTGTGGAATTTGTTGATATTTTCAGCTAGATAAGTTATATAGTCAATTTGCCATTGAATTCTTTCCAAATTAGCTGAGATGTGCTGAGGCTAGGAGTTCCTCCTGTGCAGCATGGGTGGCTAGGTGCGAGACAGCATAGCTGTACAGCAGCATTGTAAGATTTGAGCAGGGAGGTAGTTTTCTATTGAGGTTGGGAAGGGACCTCCATTCCTTCTCTACAGCCCTCCCCCCCCCCCCCCCCCAGCTTGGACTCAAGCCTTCCCCCAACTTTGAGGAGACAGTGGGCAAAACATGAGGAAGAACTGTTAATTGGCATATTTGGGGGGCTGGCTTCACCATTGTTCACTTTCAGCCACTCCCCCCCCCCCCCCCTCCTCAGCTCATCTTGGAAAACTGTGCCCTGGATTAGATAACATCCTATCTGCACTGTGCATAAGTGGAAATAAGCACAACCCACAGTTAGCTTGGCTTTTGTAACAAGTCCTTTTTGATAGAAGGATAATCTGCTGCATCAGCAAAGGGCCCAATGAAAGGGAATGTTCCACATTGACATGGGGTTTTGGACTGAAATGGCCATCTTGAGGACCTTTTGATGCAGTTCAAGGCCATGCCCTTTTAAGATCCAAAGTCCTCTGATTCCTGAGTTACATGCCTGCAAAAGCGGCAAAAAGTTTGTTGAGGGGCTATTTCAGAGCCACTTCCGCAATGGCGATGTCATAGGAACGTCATACTGTGGTGTATTGCGTTACGGGTGCGCGTGCCTGGGCGCGCCTCTGCGGCCGACCTGCCGCCGCGGTCAGCGGTCACCGGGACGCCTGTCTTCTGATACCGGTGAGAGCGCGCGTCCATTGTACTAGTGGCAGCGAGTGGGGGCGTGCCAAACGGAGTCTAGGGAGAAATTGGCTGGTGTGGTGGGGAAGAGTTGGAAGACCTCTTGCGACGGTTGGATGCCTGTCGGCTGGCGGTGGGGGACGAGAAGAAAGCGGTGGGGAAGGCGCTTCTTGGCCTCGGTTCGCGGATTGCGGTGATGGATACGCTGTCAGAAGAGGACACAAGGGATGTTCGGAGCCTGAAGTCGACACTGCGTCGGGAGTTCGGTCCGTCCCAGAGCTGGTATCAGGACTGGCTCAGTCAGCGACGTAAGCAGCCCTCCGAGACATACGGTATGCTTCCTGGGCGCGTACCTGGGCGCGCCTCTGCGGCCGACCGCCGGGGGCGGGGCCGACCTGTCGCTGCGGTCAGCGGTCACCGGAGTGCCAGTCTTCTGATACCGGTGAGAGCGCGCGTCCATCGCATTACGATCGCCGTGATACTACAGTCTGTTTTATTGTACAGTCTGGACGCGTCTCTAGCAGGGACTGGGCTGGGCTGCGATGGTGGTGGGGGCCAACCCCACGGCCCCGCTGGACCGTGGTCCATCCCCCATTCCCGGCTCGCATCTCAATACCGGGATTACAGGCAGCTCCACCGGCTCCAACCCCCTAGGCTGGGCTTCCCCAGCAGGGGCCAATCCCGCAGCTGGCTCCTCCGTCGTAGGATCAGATTTGCTGGATGACTGGGAAGCAGGGCCAGATGAAATCAGCTGCACAAGCTCGCCAACGGTCATGCCTTAAATATTATCAAGCCGGCAGTTTCAGCATCTCGCTGACTGCTGGGAGCGGTTGGCAAAGTTTATTGCCAGTTTAGTGAGGACGTCTCTGTAGGTCCTTGTGGGTGGTTGCATCCTTGTGTCGACGTTGGACCTCCCGAAACGAAAGTCCTTTCCAGGACAGCTTTTTGCGACAAAAAAAAACTGACAGCCACGATGTGACGACACATGGCCCTGGCCGCAGTTTGTGTTCCATGCGGTGAGTCTTCTGGAAGAAGACCGCCCGGACATATCCAGTTTGATGTTACCGGTCAGTGGAACTACCTTTCAAATTGTTATTGGCACTGATTACTTGGTATTCATCCAATTGGAGTAAATGATATTTGGCTAATCCAAATAGCATAAGTAAAATAAACCCCAATTCTTAATTGCGAAAGGAAGGCATTTAAATCGGTCTCAATCCGCTGAAAATATATGCTTTTTTGACATGGTTCTGAACCTGAATTGAAGAAGGCAAAAATCTGCTTGAAATCTTCGCAATTTTTTTTTGCAAAACAGGTAGTCCAGCCAATTAAATTCTGAAGTATTGCTTCTAGGGTACGGAATTAGCATGTCAGGTTAGCTGCAACAAAGTAGACATAGATGGCCACAATTACCACGAAGCGTAGTAATATGTGACCCTCTGCAAATTCTTTAACAAATTTACATGCTGTAAAACAATATTTTGCCCTCGCATGTTTGTTTGGTGCAGGTGTGCTGAAAGCAGGTGCGTTTTTCTTGTTCTTGATGGTTTTTTTTTACAGATTCCGAGAAATCTTGAAACGGGCTTTGATGTCTCCCGTCTCAGCAATGATGAGCTTGCCAAGAAGCTCCGATCCTGTGGTGTGCGTGTGGGGCCCATTGTTGGTAAGTGCACTTCATAAAGGTTGATGGCTGTGAAGATGAGATATTTATCCACCCTGCGCGGCGCAGCTCCAGCATGAAGTATGTGACAAGTACGTTCATGAACCAGTTGCTTCAATTTGGGGGGGGGGGGGGATATTGTCATGTCTGTCCTGGCTGTTGAGAAGAAATGTGTGTCTTCACAATGAGGCTTTTGTGCTATAATCTTTGGTCCTCGGTTACATGGGCAGGCTCCACGCGGCGCCTCTACGAGAAGAAACTGGTGGGCTTGCTGGCTGGCGGCCGCCGGGACCGCCCGGCGCCGCCCGTGGTGGACGAGTTCTCTGACGACTGCTCGGACGGGGACGAGCTGGGAGCAGACGGGCCTCGTGTGGGCGAGCCGGCGCCCGGCGCCAGTGCCATCCGGCGCCGCCTTCCCGGCGGCACTGACGGTGAGGCCGCCAGTGTTCTCTGACGTTCTGGCCGTTCGGGGTGAAACGAAGGGTGTTTAGTGGTTGCCATGATGCGTATGCTGTTAAATGAAGGACGTTTAGATGAAGCGTTTTTGTTCTGCGCATGTGGCGACCCGGGTTCGGTCGCCGCCCGTGACCGAGCCGCGTCTGACGCCGTAGCCGTACCCCGGTGTCACGTGACCGGGGCCCGTGAGCTGTTGTGTGGCCGTGGCGTGGGAGCTGACCCGGCGTGCGCCGGTCAGAGCCCGTGGCAGACCTGGCCGCCAAATACCCCGACTTGGGGACGCTCGTGAAGGAGGAGGCCGACCAGCCACATCTGCTCCGCGACGGAACTGACACCGGTGGTCGGGACATCGGGCACGGCAGGTGCGAGGGAGCGCTCATGGTCGACAGCTCGCTCCCCGGTGACATTTGTGCATGTACTAGCCCACCGGACACGCTGGGTTGTCCTTTCGCGAGAAGCTGCGGGCTGTTCAAGAGTATTCGGGGAGCAATATGTATAGGGCGTTTGTTTTTTGTACACGTATGTGGTGTTTGGAGATCGTTCAACAGCGGTCCTCATGGCCGTGCACTCGCGAACTCGGCCACCACCTGGACCTGCCGCAGATCTCCAAAGACAGTGGGCGGCACGAGCTGAGCGGCCCGCACCTAATGTTGGAGCCCGTGCGCTGCCGGGGGGCGGATGGTCGAGCTGTCAGCCTGACACTGGGCCGTGGCCCCCAGCGTGTCGGCCGAGGTCGGCGGACGCCACGAGAAGGAGCGGCGGCCATGGGTCCGGCGCGGCGTCAAGCTGTTCTTCCTCGTCATGCTGGTCGGCCTGTGCTGCATCGGCTACTATGTGAGCATCGGCGCAGACGGTGCCTGGCAGCCGAGTGTCGTGATGCGACGTCGGCATGATGCGGGGGAGGAGACGAATCATTGGTAGTGCGGATAGGATCATGTTCGGGCTGACATGCTCGTCCGGTGTGTTCATATTTGCACACCGTTTCGGCCAGTAATTCTTCAGCAGTCGTCAGGTGTTCAGGGGCTCTGGGAAGACAGCTTGATATTTAGCTCTCAACCATGCACTCGTCACAATCAGAGTTTTCTCCTTGCAGTTGGTGAGATTCGAACAGGGATCCTTCTAGGCTATAAGTCTTTCGTTCTTGCACTGAACTGAGTAGCATGACCTTTCGCTCGTACAATTTTCTGGTCGTCAACTGCATATTTGTGCTTCTATTGGGGATTCTTAGGAATGAAAGTCATATCGGGCCGATGTCTACGCTTGGACTACTGACGATGTTAGCCAGTGTCATGCTGTTGTTGGGGACAGTTGGAACTCCCAACCAACATCACATCTAGTGGCGGCACGGGGGCAGGAGGTGGAGTAGCCAGGCAATGTCAAGCAGACGTGTGGAAACATGTAATCCTGGACTAGGTTTGCGGTTCAACATTGAAGACTGCTTTGCCTTGTCCTGGGACAGACCAATCTCTAATGTAAGCGTCCCTGGCCAGATGCCGGCCACCTAGCTGCCTGAAGCAATGTTGTGGCAGGATGTACAGTACGTCTCGGCTGTTGCCTGACTGCAGATCGAAGGAAGCAGCCTGGCACAGCAGCTTGCACCCGAGCGTGCAGAGAAGCATGCCGTGATGTAGCGACGCTCCTCTCGAGCTCGTGCGGCAGTCTCGGCGTCACTCCGTGTCCCTCCGCAGGAGTGGCAGCGCTGGGCCGCACTGCTGGAAGTTCTGGTGGAGGCGGGGCGCGCCGCCGTCGGCTCGCTGCCTGCCGCCGCGCCCGTGGCGCCGCCTCCGCCGGTGGCCCCGGTGGCGCCGCGTGGTGACGTCCTGAAGCACCCATAGTCGCCGAGTCTTCGGCCTCCGCGCGGGAAGCTAGCGGCAGCGCGCCGGGGACGTGTTAAGCACAAATCACGCAAGCACGACCAGTGACGTGGTCAACGGGTCACGTGTGTTTCTATTCATAGCAATCAATTTCATGTTGCTGTTTGTGGCATTGGGTGGCGTGTGAAGCCTATCGTTTGAGAGCCCAGCCAAACAGCCAGATCGTGCATGTGGGCGCTGCCCGACCCAGTCGGCAGGAAATCACCAGCGTTACGGTGTACCGGGGCGGGTGCGCTTTCGTGGTCATGGCTTCACTCATGTCGTGTTGAATGAATAAATTATGATGCTGATTTGCATCGCGCACGTGTTCTTCCCGCTGGCTTTGAAGGGTGATGGCCAGAAACGTCACCGTGAACAGTCACAATATGAAGGGTCTATTCAAGTCATCACATCGCGTAAATAGCTGAACATTTTTACATAAGCTTCGGACCAGTGAAGGAATAACTAAAGTGAACATTACGATATCGTGCAAAAATGTGTTCCCTCTGGTTGTCTGCTCATGCTAACTAGTTCTGCCAACCCCGGCGTTCGTATGCCTGGTGCTATGCCTTATGCCTCAAACAAGCGTCATGCGCGCAACAAGAGATTGTTCGACAAGAAGCTGACCATGTACCACTTCCAGGCTGGTGACGCGGTGCATCTTTTCAGGAGTGTAGCTCAGAGAGGCCAGCGCTACAAGTTTGTCAGGCCATGGAAGCCTGCGGTGGTTATGGCCAAGCTGACTGATGTCAATTACAGGGTGAGGGTGTTGGGAGGGAAAAAGTCTGTCGTTGTTCACCACAATAGACTGAAGCCTCGTTCCGATGACCCCTCAGTGCCTGTCGCAGGCCCAGACATGACTATTCCTGGCTCGGCATTATCTGCGGACCCCGAGGTTGGAGATCAGCCTTCACCCCGATCACCTCAGCCACAAGAAGGCGCGTCACCGGAGGGCGACTCGTACTTGTCGCCGTTTGCTTGTGACACATTTCCAGCCTGCGAGAATTCGGTGGCCGCGGCTGTTGCTGTGGGTGGCCCGGCGCCTCTCTCCACAGGGATGCCTGTTCCGCCAGAGGTGCAGGATTTATCCACTGTGGTTCCGGAGGGACATGTGTGTGAGCACACCCCTGGTGTGCTTGATGTTCCTGTTTCAACTCCAGATGGTGGAGATGGACCACTGACCGCACCTGTGTTGGTGCCTGATGGGCCCGTGACCGCTCCTGTGTTGGTCCCTGATGTGTCTCCGATGGCCTTTGCTCCTGTGCCAGCCCCCCAGCGCTCTGACAGAGCTTCTAGGCCACCGGATCGCTATTGTCCGAGTTAAGTCGTTAAGTTAAGTCGTTAAGTTAAGTTAAGAGTTAAGATTTGCTTAGGTTTGGCTAAATGTGGCTGAAATGCAATGGGAATGGATGAAATGCGATGGGGTGATATCAGGACACAATGTACTGTCTGGGTGTTGTCCTGGTGTCGTGTTTGGCAATGTCTTCGCAGGCCTACCGGTGTAGCGCTACCGGTTGTTGTGTCCTGTTAATGGGACAGTGTACATAGGCATGACATGTCATTCGAGTGTTGCTCTCTGACTTCACGACCCCTGTTTCCCAGTCCCCCAGCCATGCCTCAAGCCGAAGCTGTTCTTCATTATTCCAGTTAGTGAAGCTGAAAGCTGCATCGCACACGGCCCGAGGATTGTGTGCGGTGTGGGTTAACTAACACTGAACTGTGGACCGCGTGTGCTGCGTATGTCGTGTGTTTTGCCCAGCGTTCGCAGATGGGTCGTTGCCGCAGCCGTGCTGCCCGCGGTTGTGCTGTCCGCGGCCGAGCTCCGCGGCCGAGTTCCATGGCCGTGGTGTCCGCGGCCAGGCTCCGTGGCCGAGCTCCGTGGCTGTGCTCCGCAGCCGAGCTCTTCGGCCGAGTTGTATGCGGACGAGCTCTGCGGCCGAGATCTGCGTCGGTGTTCTGCGGCCGAGCTCCGCGTCGGCCTTCTGCGGCCATGCTCTGTGATCATGCGCTGCGGCGGAAGATTGCAAAGTGATGCGTTCTCTTTTGTTAACAGGGTCGGGTGTAGTCGGTGTACCGCTTGCAGGTCTGGTTTGATTTAGTGCTTGCTCCTCGTTTGTTGAGTCACTTAGTTTGCTATTATCTTGAGGTCTAATTTAGTGTTAGTCAATCCATGCTATTTTCGTGTTCATTTTGTATTGCTAATTTTAGTCCCTGTCCTGTCGGTTTCCGCCCTGTTTAGTTCTAGGTCAAGTCTGTCCATTTCCGAGGTTTCGTTGCTTTCCTGCCGGCGTCCACGAGGAGTTGAGGCGCGGTGTTGGCGATGGGCGGTCGTGGAATATAGCGCACCTAAAACCTCGGTGTCTTCGACGTGGCGGCCGTCTACACATTTCCGATTCAAAACAAGCAAAGTGAGGGTGGCAGCCCGTCACAGTGATCGCGCGCGTTCCGTCACAAGTCAGCGCCATACCCGCGCGCCCTGGCCTCCACAGACACCACCATTCCTGACTGGCCAGGGCTTCACCTGCTCTGACACAGCCAAATGGGTTCGACCAGCTCCCGTGCTGTGTCCGAAAAACACGAGCGGCACTGCGCGCTTGCATCTTCCCCAGTAGCTGGTGGTGTGCTCGCAGCCCCCACTGCGAGCACGTGCGTGTAGCACGGGCCCCGTGTGCAATGACTATATTGACTAAATAATTGGTGTGTAAGACATGTTGGACACCTGTCACAGTTTCTTTTTTCTGAATTATTTTCCCTGACACCACATCGCCGCAGAAAACCCTACGGGGAGCTGCCTCAGGTGAGAATTGGCCCAACGGACATTTCATCGCCCGTCATCCAACGTAGACGACTTGATTTGCTTTTGTGTGTAGACAGTGGCGTAGCCAGAGCCTTGCCAGGGAGGAACACGGGGTTGAAAAGGCCCATCTTATGCTGACCTGCCCCGGATATAGCTTACTTGTTGACAAGGGACGCGGTTTTTCTCGTTTCTATTTTTATTTTGCATTCAGAACAGAAAACAAGAGCTACCGTGAGATCAATCATGTTTAAGTTTTGAAGTCAATAAATTGCAAAAAGCAGGCGTTGAACGACCGCATGAAATAAACCACTGGCACCCTTAATTTACGCTGATTTGGTGAACTCTTTCTAAAACGATAGCATTCAGGAGCTTTGTCAGAATGTTTTATCTGGGTTCTGTCGACATTAATGACATCACGAAAGTAGATTGTGGATCGATATGTTTAATGGAAATTTTAAGATTAAAATTTGATCGCAGATCGAGTGGTCAATAATGTGTGTTGCCATGACCAAGCCATGGTTGGCTGGAAATGTTCAACAACCAGACAGAATCGATTAGTGACACAATCTATGTAACGTGGTTTTTTAACATGCACGCTCGCAAATCTTAGCAACAAAAACCTCCACCCCAGGCATTGCAGTCTCCGTAGTCCGCAGAGCGTTAGCTCAGTGGCTAGCTTTTAGGCATGGCCCATCGATAGACAAAAATGATGACACCTTTGAAATAATTGCCATTAAGTATTCGAATAGATTAGTGAAACAAGCTATGTGGGATAATTTTGGGCATGCGCACTGGCAAATCTTAGCAACAAAATCTCGACGCCAGGCGTTCCAGTGTCCCCAGGCCGCGCAGCCTCGGCCCAGCAGCTAATGCTAAGCCGTGGCCAACGGGTGTTTGAAAATGATGTCGCTGCTGAAAGAAGCGCCTTTGAAAGCTGCAGGAATTTAATCTTACATTTAAAAGACGGTCTGGGCACATATTTCACGTGTGCGATTTTTAGACTGATGATAAGAGCGGACTCTTAAAACAGCACAAAGTGGTGCTGGAATCGGGTCGTGGAATTGGAAGAGTAAAAGTAGAATCACTATTTTTCATGTTTCACTTACTATTAATTTGTCCAGAAGACAGATTACCGCGGCGCCGGCCGTATGGTGGCATTTGCAGTGGCCAGCGCCGTTCGGTTTTACGGAAGCCTCAACTCAGGCCATCCCTGTCCTTGCGCTCGAGGTTGCGGGCGGGCCTATTCAAACACGTTGATGTTATTTGCTTTGCTAATCCATTCTTGAAAAGAATGAACATTCTCAGGCAAACATGGGATGTCCTTGTTCGTTTTTCTTGACTCATTTCAACCCACTCCATTCAACAATAGACTACCACCCTACTTAAGAACATTGATCCCTCCTATTTTCTTCCAGGGAAGGACCCCTTGAGAAGAGCACCCGGGGCACATCAACCTTTCAGGTCAAGGGCTCAAGGGGCATTCCGTCCCATCGCAAAGTGCCTTTCGGCTGTCATTTCGACAACATGAGGCGGAATCTCCTGGTCGATCCGGAGGCCATTGGAAGGATATATTATATCAAGTTGTTCCCCTCCCTGACACGGAAGGTCTTCCGACCTGCGCAGCTGGCCCTGGATCACCACGAAAACCATCACTGGCCCAACAACACCCCTGACAGCCGCAGGTAGTCCAATAATTGTCACACTGACTCCGGTTCCATGTTTTTTTTTGTGTTCTTCAGAGATATTGAGGACGCCCTGAACGTAGATTGTAGATAAAATGTAGTTTCAAATTGGTATTTGCGTGGCTAATCCATGTTCGTCTTAGAATGTTCAAGATTCAGTCCGAATCGAGTACTGATAAAAATTATGTAACACGGTTTGAACATGCGCGCTCACAACTCAAACCGAAAGCCTCGGTGCCCGGCGTTGCAGTCCATGGGCCGAGCGGCGGCGGCCCTGCGGCTGTAACACAAAGTGGTGGCCAATGAGCAACCGAAAAAGATGGCGTATCTTAAGGAAGATGGCTGGTGAACTAGGCAAATCGGAATATACGTGTAATGTGGTGCAAAAGTAAGCCAATCACAGCCTTAGTCTGAAAAGTGTGTGTGTGGGAGGGGGGGGGGGCAGTTAACACTCCTGGTCCCCCACCTTGAAAAGTGGGGGCCATGACCCTCCTGGCCCTCCCCCTATTCCTACACCCATGCTTAGGATGGCGGGTTTTGCTCTTTTCCACACTTTTACACGTGTTGTGCCACATCTCTGCACCCAGGGCACGGACACATTCGGGAGTGGCACGCATTGCCAGGGAAACGAACGGGCAATCACGTGGTATACATTGAAGCGTCACGTGTGCAGGGCAAGGGAACATGGATTTGGCCCTTGCCGACCGTTTTTCACCGTTCGATACAATACAATACTGTTCAATACAAGGTCAGTGCGTGCTGCCATCATTCTAGGGCAGACGAATGATGGGATGGAGAAAAATCACCAGTCACGTCCCATGATCAATCAGTGGTCCCATGTTACAGGCCTGTCCATGTTCCAGAGCTGCTGCTGCTGTCGGCGGCCGGCAGAGGCCGCCATCAGCGCGCGGCCTATGACCACGTCTTTTTCTCACGTTTTGCGCGGTATCTCGGCATCTGGAGCGGCCAGAGACGAGAATTGAACTGCAAAATATAGCGAATTGAAATTGCTTCCTCTTGCGCAGCGAAGCAAGCGCGTAACGCTTGTTCGCACTACTTTTGAAAATATTACAAAGGAAAAAGCTTGGGTGCAAACTTCCCTGAAGCTTTACCAAGATTTAGGACTTCAGCGTGAGGAAAATGCAAACGGTTGGGAGCTAGTGGGTACAAATGATCATGAATGGGTAGCAGATGGGTGTGAACACAACCTTGTGGGTGTCAGAATGATTAGGTACAGGAGAGCTTACCTCCGAGAGTCTTCATAGCCCTCAACTATGACAGCCGTCACCAGGTTGGGGTCGGCAACGGCCACCAGGACGCCGTTTGGTGCGTGCCGGTATAATGCGCCGACGACGGCGATGTGCCTATCGGGTTCAGATGCCCGAGAAGCTTGAAGTTATGGCTGCCATGAGTAAACGTCAAGTCTAAGACCATGCATTTTGCTGCATTGCCTCGTACTGGCACGTGCAGCGATCGGCGACGGCGTCCGAAATCTGCGAGTAGCATGCTGGGTGGGTGGCAATTTGTGAACTGAAGCGGGCTGAGGCGCGGACGGACGAAAACACGGGCAGCGGTATGTGTTTGCTGGTCTGTTGCGCTTGCTGGATGGCAGCAACGACGCCTTGGATGTTCCTGGGACCATTTCTGTTCAGGTGCCGTTTTGTGTGATCAAAACACAAACAATATAATCCAGTCTGCCCTGAGGTTACTGTGGTCCGACTGGACCCTGCCGACTCCGGTGGGAGCTTGTGGTTACGCCCGTATATGGGAGCCGTACTTCGGAGGCTTGTTTTTTGGCTTCCGTTTTGACATCCGACCGAATTGGCCAGCATAATTCGCGGCCTCTGGACTATTTTCTAAGCACAATGCCGGGCTGCTCATGCGATGGATGATGGTCAACATTCCGGGGGCTCGTCATGACGTCACGATCGCGAAGCGCGCAGAGATCAGAGTTCGAGCGTACGGGGACATTTCGCCTGGCGCTTGAGGTGCGCCTGACCAACGTGCTCCCTGGGGCCCAACTCCCCATGGTGCCAGAAGTAGCTGTCGGCACCTCATTTTAGGTCGGTGTAGCTAGCATTCTTGGGCTCCACGCCACGGATGGACAGCTGAAGTACTCTCACTCTGGGGCTGGGGGCGTGAGTAAATCGTCACTTCTGGTTATTTGCTTTCAGTCGACGCCCACGGGCCCATCTTAAATTTTCACGAGTTGGGACGCTGAGCCCTCCTCCCCAATTCCCGTGCCCCCGCGGCAATGACTAAAATATAGGTATCAATTCCAAGGGCTTTTCCCCGGAGTATGCGCTTGGGTGCAATTCTGAATTATTCCAAGTTGGGCGTGTCCCGCTGTTACCCCTCTAGCGGTACAGCCCCTCCAATCCGTGCCGTTGCTGTCCCTCTCGCGATACGGCCCCTCCAATCCGTGCCGCTGTTATCCCTCTCGCCGAACGGCCCCTCCAATCCGTGCCACTGTTATCCCTCCTGCGGTAAGGCTCCTCCGATCTGTGCCGCTGCCTCCGGAGCTCCTCAGCATTAGCTCACCATTCCAAATTGGATGCAGACGAATTTAAGCGGTATCTATCGAGTCCAAACGCAGCAAAGACACCACCCGCCTGTCGAAGCCGAGCATGTGTGTTAGGCGTGAGTGAGGGCCAGCGCCAGAGTTCCGGCTGTAACCTGGCCAGGGTACCAGACACCCTCCAGTTTTCACTGCCACCCGTGGCTCAGACCTACTTTTTCATGCACACCACATCCTGTCCAAACCATGCCTCGTATCGAAGACGATATGACGTAAATGTTTAAGACATAAATTTCCTCACGCCCATTTGGTCCTTTGCTCGTAAACACGGGGCCGGCGTTGCTACCCATTTTGCCCACGTGGTCTCATATGAGCCGGGTTGCGTGGTTTGAGATAAACTTCGTTGAATGCTGTAATCAGTGTTTGAAACCTACAAAATAAACACACATATTCCCTTTGGTGTTATCCTGAGACATGTGTTACGCATTAGTAGTTGTAAAGGTCTAAAATTAAGCTGTTTGAAGTAACTTATTGCCAATGTAATGCAGGCTTACTGGCAGACAAAAAATGTTCTTCCAACCTCAGACGAATCCGCCCTTTCCGCCAGCTGACCGGCCGGTTGTGACTCGTGGTGCCATCTTGTGGACGAATGGCATAATGCGCCTCCGCCATCAAATATAGATCCTAATGTTTTATCCGCGACACAAATAGTCTCTGAGGAAAACCGTGCCTTATTACCGCGAGTATTACTTGTTCGGAAATTCTAACACATGCCAAGCCGGGATAAGACTGATCGCGTGGACATTTAACCATGACCTTGGTGCGCATGAACTCACGAACGACTGCAGCTGTTTCCCGCCAAGACCCCCGCCATTAGTTTGCGTTGTGGACGGCGGTAGTGGTGGGAGCGGCATTGTAGTGGAACCAAAAATTGGGCAAATTGGGGGGTGAAAAGCGACCGTTGGTCACCAAACTGTTTCTCAGGTGGTATTTCATCTGGACATGCACCCAGATCCGTCGGAGAAGCCCGATTTTGACGAAATATCGGACAGCCGGGAGGAGCTCGCCGGGAGCGCGTGCAGGTGAGCCCAATGTGCCTGCCCGCCGGCTGATACGCGCGGTCGATGTGTAGTGATGTGCGTGTGGAGGTGTGGAGGGCGGGTGGGTTGGTCAGCTCATTGCGTTTTGGAGCTTCATGTATGCGCACCAGCATTTGCATGGGGTCTGGGCCGTGCACAGCATATCACCGTGTGGGCGGCACTGACCTACTGGATGGCTGTCTTGTGGTATGTACGGCCTGCAGCTGGGTTGCGACTGGAGCGCTTGGCCGCGTTAGTGGACTGGCGACATCTGGAGATGGCAATGAATGGTTTCATTTTATCTCACACTTCTTTGTCGTATCAGCGGCTGGGCCGTAATGCACCCAGTGGGCGGTGGGTTGAGTCGGGTTGCCGCGTCACTAGTGAGGGGGCGGGTCGAGCCCCGCTAGCTGCTGAGAGGGGTGGTTACGGAATCACCTCTAAGGTACATATAGCTCAGTCCCAACGTGACAAAAGCTCATTTCACTGGCCTGGAAGAGGCGGGCGAGAAATCCATGCGTCTAATAGGGCCAGGAGAATCAAAACTACGATTTTGATCCAACACATTGCCAGGGTGTAGTCTGCTCCGGTGTGGACCCAACCAGCATATGATCCTCATGAAATATCTTGATTCCTTATCTTTCCTATGCTGCTAAATTTGTCTCGGCTCGAAATTTGTCTCGGCTCGTACCTTACGATACCAATGAGCTGGACTGCTCCCACCGATCAATGACGAGCATGAATCAGGTACGTCATGACCAGCGGCCATCAGGTTTGCCGTATACCTAAGCCGGACAGGCGTCGTGGACGTCGTGTGCCCCCACGTGGGGTGGCGGTCACGTGCGGGGAGGAAGCATGTGGATCTCCTGGCAATGTGCGCTCGAAAAGTGTATGCCGATGCTTTGCTGACGCTAGTTCCTGCAATACATAGGACACGTATGAGCGGCCTCCAGTTAGAACTGTCGCGTCATGATACCGTCGACTGCTTGAATGGCCTGAAGGGCGGCTCATGCTGCTATTTTCGACATACGGCTGTATGGCCCTGAGGTCGTGCAGCCGTGTCCAGTAACTGCCTGTGCAACTGCACCCGGCTTCAAATAGGCAATTCAAAGTATAATGTCCGTGGGTTTGAGTTCGTGAGTATACCAACGCAACTTTGTGCGCGAATTCGCTCCAGAAATAAACGCCGTAGCAGGTGCGTGGTTATCGGTGCCGCGAATGGGGTGAGTTGCCTTGTGGTTTGTTCTTTGGTCTTTGACAATGGTCTGCACCGGCGGTTAGTTGTAATGTATTTGACGGTATGTGTCCCACGAGTCCCGATGTGCCGAACGTGGTATTTGAGACCGAGCTCGCGTGCATGCGCATCTGGGAAGGTGTTGCGTTCATACTGTCCGCTATGTTGGTAAAGTCATCATATTGTGTATGGGTATGAGAAGGCGGCTTCCTCGGGGAATCCAGAAGACCGGGGTGACCGCTGGCAGCTCATGGCCGTCCATCCAATGCCTGAGAGGTAATGGTAATGTTTTCTGTAATGGAATGGGCTGCGCCCGTGCCCACCTCGTGGCCTTTCGCCACGGCCGGTCTAGTATCCGAGTGCACTCTGTTTTGTGACGTATAATACGAATGGTCCCTGTGTGACTCCTCACCAGCGATGATGGCAGTTGAATCAGCCATTGCCAACGATCGCCTTCTGCGTTTATTTAAATATGTATTGAGGAATACTGGGCAAACCTGTGGTTTGTGGACCACCCATTCGTAGCAGTTCACACCTGTGTGTGTATGTGTATATGCCCAGGCGTGTGGATCACAAATACTCCATGCTCCGAAAATCATCCATTGATCGTCTTGACGGTGGCCCTGAAATATATCCTGAGGAGAGTTGGGATCTGTTTTTGTAGCAGTCAATTAGATATGAATTAAATCTTGCCAATCCTTGAAATCCAAAAACCACACCAATCCTAAACGAGGCTATCATTTGAAAATGCTTTTAAATGTATTTAACCTATCTGGGCCAACATTTCCTTCCGATCAACTGAACGGAGCACGCTCACGTCGGCTCTGCACCGCCATCAGTCACCGTCCGCAATGCAATGTACGAGTTCTAGATTTCTATGACAAAATTCAAATGGTAAAAATCTTGAAACCGAGTCACCTGCCCAGTTACCCGAATCCCATAACGCTGTGAATGTTAGCTGAAATTCTATGGCAGTGAAGTAGCTGAGCTGCGCTTCTGGGAAACCAGAGGTGCGGGCTCGACTCCACACGGTGTCCGCGCTTCCCGCCAGTGTGGGAGGCAGGTGACGCTATGTGGCTTCAGTAGCTAAGTGCGTCGTTAAGCCCCAATGACGACGACGACGACACCTGACGAATGACGGGCGGACGACGACGACACCTGAAGTCCGAACCCTATCAGTGTTCTGCACCTGCTTAGAGACATTGCACTATCGCGATCACAGGTCCTTTGCATGTGAGTAGGGATCTGCGCAGAAACTGTGGAGGAGGGCCACAACCAAAAATATCGTCTGAAAAACAAGTTAAGTGTGCCACAGGCGCACTCATTTTGTTGTGTGTTGTACTATAACATCGTTTGTTCTTGATCCCCGTATTTATACTTTTCTACAGTAAATTTTTAACTGCCAGCATTTAGTCGTGTGCACAGTAATGCATGCCACGCTTTTGGTAAATGCAAGGTACGTACCTCCGGGACTACGATGTGCGTACGCCCCTACATGTTTAAAAGACATCAGTTGGACTTCAGGTGCGTCTTGCTTTTCATATATACTTCTCTTGCGTGGTGGGAACCGTCTTGAGCGTTTGGGTTTTTGAGAAAGTTCTGTTTTTCAGTAATAAAACAGTTGTTTTGGGCTTATTTCTCGGAAAAACCAGGAGAATGAAGATTTAGTTGGGCTGATATTTCGGCGACATGCCTTTATCGAAACAACAGCAGGAGTGAGTGTTCACTTCTGCTGTTGTTTTGATGAGGGCATGTCGCCTTAATATCAACCCAACTGTCTCCATTTTCCTGGTTTTTCCGAAGAATAAGGCTAATACTACCGTCTTGTATATGTGAATAATATTCCTCGCTAATGCACTGAACAGCTTACGTAATTTTTTCATTGATTGCGCACAAACATCCCCGCGCGTACCAAGGCACTGTTGATTACACACGATGAAGACTCAGCGGTTGTAGGTTTCATAAATGCTGCCATTCTTATCATTCAGAAACGCTTAACTGAACATTGTCACTGAATCGGACATTCTGACCCAGTCCTTTCCAGAAACGTCGAACAACGCGTGTCCAGATGTGTTTCTGTTTCATTTGGGATCTTCGGGAGATCCAGCAGATCGTTCCATACCGTGTGCCAATCGAGCCAGCCAACGCCGTTCTGTTTATTAAGCGCAATGACACCTGTGGTACTGCATGATGCGTACTGTAATTGTGGGCCGAGGGACGGTTGTGTACCTTTTGTTTGAAAAGTTCTTGGTGAACGTCGACACAGTGCGACGTCTCGCGATAGAACTGGCCTTAAAAGGTATCGTCATCGGCAAAAATGGCACCTAAACGTGTTCGGCCTGCTCTTCAATCGAAGTCCAAACGCGAATAACTTGTCTAGGGTGGCATTCCATATTTTGTAATCAAACTGGCCATGCCGTTGTCGGTGATTGAGCTAATCGGTGTCACTGTGCCCTGCCCTGTCTCTCATCCTTGCTTCCTTTGCCCTGCGCTGAAATTGCACATCACGATGTGTGGGGGGAGGAGTGGGGTCCAGCTGACGGCACTAGCGTCCCATCACTTGAGTTGCACCTAATGCAAGCTGTGTTTTCTGTACATGTGTCGGTACTCTAGTGAAAATGTACAATTGCTCGCTTGTAGTTTTGGATCGTGCCGTGCTACGTATGATGTCAACATCAGACGTGCCATGGATAAATGCAGAATAAACCAAAACTTTGGAAAGACAGTCAGAAAGGAGTTGTGCCCTCCCGAAATAACACTGAGTTCCCAGACCACTTAACCCGTAATTTGACATCGCCAGTCTGGTTTGTCAGTTAAACCGTCGGTCTGTACCCCCCTGACATGCCACTTTGCCGACAGGCTCGACGATTCCGGCGCCACCACCAGCCCGCGCTCAGCCATGGAGCAGGAGAAGCGGATCCGGCGCGAAATCGCCAACAGTAACGAGCGCCGCCGTATGCAGAGCATCAACGCCGGTTTCCAGACACTGCGCGCCCTGCTGCCGCAGCACGAGGGCGAGAAGCTGAGCAAGGTGCGTCTCCCGTGCGCTGGGCTCGCGCGGCGCCGACGTGTCCAGGTGCGACGTCTGTAGCGGCCGCGTCACTGGGACGGGTCGATACGGAGATCGGCTGGAGCTCTCCTCGTTGCGGCCACCGCCTGTCCGCAGCCCGTCTGGGCGCGAAACGGGAAATGTGGGCTGGCACCGGCGCCTGTCCGGCTGTAGGGCGCCGGCGGGACCTGGCGCGCCCGGCCCCGGTCCCGTTCGGCTCGCAGCCCGCTCAGTCAAGGTCCCAGCGATCAGGTGGCGTCCGGGCCGCGGTGAATCACCATCAGCTGGCTCTCCAGCTGACGCCAGACGGCGGCGGCCGGCCGATGCGCCCCGCGGCGCTGTGGCAGAGGCTAGCCGGCCGGGCGGCGGCCAATTGGCGCGTTGGCCGCCGCGTGGTGTAGCCGCTGCGCGGGTTGGCGCAATCTTGAAAATAGTGCGGCCGTTCAATGAGCCGGCCTTGTGTCTGGCCGGCTGGGCGCGGCAACGGTCGATACGGCGGCGGCGGCGACGGCGCCGCGGGCTCGGACGGGTAGCGTGGCGGGCGGATACTACAAAGGGGCGCGGCCGGAGCCCATAGTACGCGATGTTTGCGGACGTAGGGAGGGGGCGGGGCGTCCGGTAAGTGGACACCTTTTGTGCGCGACCATCAGGAGAATGTACGTCGAATGAAGCGTAATAATTTGCGACGAAATCGCTGTCGGAAGGGGCAAACCAGTTTTTGTCGGCTGGTGTGCGAGCACGTTATCCAATCTGTGAGACTTTCGGTGTTTTCGTCTGATGCTCACAGCTTATTCCAATTTGCAAGAACCTGGGGTGATTTGGGATCTGAATGGTTGGGCTCATTTCTTCAGAAAATGTAATGTTAAAGCTGTTGTCATGATTGTTGCTCATCGTGGGTCCGAGAGAGTATGCATTAGGTAACAATGCGTGGTACTGATAATATTTAAAGACGCGAATGAAGCGGAACCCAACAAGGCGTGTAAAAGATCCAAATCTACGCCGTTTTTTATTTTGGTGTTGTGCACCCTATAATCGGGACGCGAACCATCTCAGTGCTTTTTTGACTCAAGACCGGCATTGGATAAGCTCTTCTTACTTTTTGCTCACTATCCTGACCGTCATAAAATGGTGCCTTAATTTTCCAGTGCATATAAACGTATCTACATGTTGCATTCACACGCACGCACGCACGCACGCACGCACGCACGCACGCACGCACGCACGCACGCACGCACGCACGCACGCACGCACGCACAACACACACACACACACACACACACACACACACACATTTATATATATTGTGACATTCATATGCATTTTGTGCTTCCGGTGTACTTGTCAAATATTGTGCTTAGCTTCCTACTGAAACCGTGCGCCTGCACAGCGCGCAAACTGTCGGACGTGAACAATGGTCCCGGATAAGGTTACAGGCCTTGTATTTGGACGTTGGCCTTACCCTCGCGCCTCGGGATTTGGTTTGAAAGTTCATCATAGCTGAGACAGGCTTTTGCTTTTTGTTTTCTTCCCTGGCCTTTACGTTGGCCTAAATACTGTTGTTTGGTACATTTATAAACATCCCTTTTTATAGCCATCCACATGTTGTAGGCATCTCGCTTTCTGTGTCGTTCATATACTTTTAGCTATCTGAGACGAGCGGCGTGGGTGGCCACACGATTTTGTTACATAGGTATTCCGTAACGTGTGGGTGAGGAGAAACTTGTGCAATCAAAATTCGTTCGGATGAGTGGCTTCGCTTCTTGGGGCCGCTAACGAAAGGACCTTATCGTGATATCTCCGTGGTAGCCAAGTGTCCGATTGTTGACCGCACCCCACCCACCCCCGTTCGGCGGTGGTCCGGTGCTCAGCACAACCCTCGGCTGAGCTAGCGCTCTCTGCGTCGGCAGGCGGCGATCCTGCAGCAGACGTCAGACTTCATCTACAGCCTGGAACAGGAGAAGACGCGCTTGCTGACGCAGAACTGCCAGCTGAAGCGGCTGCTGGGCCAGCAGCAGCAGGGCGCCGACTCGGACACGGCTGCCGATAGTCCGGCGTCGGCGCGACGGAACGCCTCGCACGAGAGCGCTGAGGCGGCCAGTGACGAGCCTGCGCCGCCTCCGCCGGCCGAGCGGCCGCCCTCGCCGCCCGACGCCGAGGGGGCCGCACTGCGCCGCGAGCTGGCGGAGCTGCGCGCCCAACTGGAGCAGGAGCGGCACCACCGGCTGCTGACCGAGGACCGCCTGCGGCTGGCGGAGGCGCCGCCGCTGCCGCCGCTGCCACCACCAGGCTACACCGATCGGCTGCACGTTGCCCCGCCGCCTCCGCTTAAGAAGCCGAAACTGGAGCGGGCGGCGTCGCCGCTGCGCCGGCCAGACGCATCCGACTCGCCGGCCCTGGGCACGCGCCTGGAGCGTCAGACAGTGCTGCCGCCGCTGCTGCTGCCCGAGCCGGCGACCCATCAGCTGGCGCCGGTGGAGCCGCCGCGACCGCAGCCTGTCGGACACCGGTCAGTAGCTGCCACGGCCGGGCGCCAGTAACGCGAAACGTCGCTTGGACCGCCATGGTGGGGTTGGGGCATGCGGTTTGTTTTGCTGCTGGTTTGGGCGCGGTGATGGTGTCGAAATGTTTAATGTTGCCAGTTTGCCACTTTTATGTTATCGGTATGACTTTCGATGCTGGCTTACCGCGGTGCCGCCAACTGCATCGTCAGGTGGAGCCGTCCAAGTGCCGTTTTGACCGATCGTAACTGCCGGGCGAACCGGCAGCGAGTCTGTGTGCAGCTGAAAGCCCCTCTCTATGACCTATCTGACGATAGAGTGACGGCGCCTTTTCATGCCTTTCTGACGGTGCTGTCTGACGGCTTGTTCTCGTGTCCGCAGGGCGCTGTATGGCAGCTCGACGACGTCGCGGCAGAACCTGGACACGATCGTGGAGGCGATCCGACACCTGGAGGGCGACCACCTGTTCCAGGACCTGGTACCGGAGCCGGCGCTGGAGGTGGAGGCGCGCCTGGAGGAACCCTGAGCCGCAGGAGGCGCCGCTCGAGCTCACTACGCACGACCGCGCCGCCGCCGACGCCGCCTACCGGCCGGGCGTGATCGTGGCCCAGCACCACACGCACCACCACGTGCTGCCGCCGCAGCACTTTCCGCACCACCATCACCCGCAGTCGTGAGCGGCGCAGACGCGGCGGCCGGGCGCCGCCGCCGCCGGCGCGCGCGGCGCTTGCTCAACTGGCCGGGCGCGGCGGGCCCGGCGCCGGCGCGACGGCCGTGGCGGCCGGGCGTCTTCGCCGGCAGCCTTATTCCCTGTTTTCCTGCATTTACTGATTTGGACGAGCTTTTGACGTTTGGTTGTAGGGGGCGTGTTGAACTCAGGTCGGTCAGGTGCGGGGCGCGCTCCGGGTGTCCGGGCGCCCGCGCGCTGAGCGCTCACGGGTGCGGGGTCAGCGTCCGGGCGCTGAAGAGCGTTTCTCTACTCATGCGTTGGGCCCACGAGCGGACTGGAGCTTGTGTAACGCCAGGCTCTGCTCTGTTGTTTTATATAGATGGCGTTACCAAAGTTGAGTTAGTGTTTCCTTGATTACTGTTTTGCCAGCGATTGCCGAAGGCTGCTTTCTTTCTGGGTGCGTACGGTTTCTCATTGTTTTGTACGCAGTTTGAGTCGTGAAGCACCGGCACAAAACGGCGCGACGCATCGGAACCGTCTCGAAATCCAGCTTCGAACGTTGGTGTAAATACGACGCTGACCTTAGTCTCGGAAATATCTAATGGCGCGTTATCGGTGTTACGACTAAGTACAGATTATGTTATGTGTATTAAGCGGACCTGGCGCGGGTCCGGCCGCCGCTGAACAGGCGTCATTCTTGTAATAAACAGCTTGTTCAGCGTGTCTTGAATGGTGGGGCTAAGGAAGCAGCGTCGGGGCGTGCACTGGACGGACGGGGCCGGCGCGAGCGAGGCCAGGGCGGAGGTGAGCCGGCGTCCCGGCGTTAGTGCTAGACGCGCGGGGGAAGCGACCTGCAGCTGCTTGGCGTCGAGTCGTCGCGCCTGGTATGCAAGTTATTGCTCCCTCATGGCGCGGAGGAGTTTTTGACGTTTTGTGGTTTGCAAGTGTGTGTGGGTTGAAGTTTCTGCAAGCGCCCCGCAGCGCTGCCGGATGGTGACAAGCAAAGTACTTGGGTAACGTGGGGGATCCCACACTCGAGGCGGGGAAGGCGCGGATATTCGCAACAGTTGTAATGTACAGTGGTGCGAGACCGAGCAAAATGAACTTCCACTGTGTTACTGGCGGAGGGGCACGGTGTGACAATGGGCGCGGAATGGTCATCTGCGGTATTCATGTAATGACCGCCCGCAACCCGCTGCCAAACCGAAGCCACAAATTGCTCAGCCCTCGGCTGCCACTATGCATCCACTCCCATACGTCCTCGGCAGCGTTTTGCCTCATTGGCCGCGGCCGCGTGGTGGCTCGAGTTAACCTGGACCTGGAAATAGGTGGCGTTTGCGGTCCTATCTTCCCGGTGCGAACCGGCAGCGGCGCCGCCAACCAGCGGCTGGCGCGGCAGGCTGCCCGGTGCTCCAAGCCGTGTCGTGGGACATGAAGGAGGCTGATGCTGTCATGTCCAACGTCAGGTTCCGCTGGCGATAGTAAGAAGCCATTGGCGATAATAAGCAAATATCGCAGCATCAGTGAGCGGCTGCAGACGGAACTCGTACTGACGGACTGAGCCGGAACGCTATTTACAAGAGCCTTCCGCGTGAAGAGCACGACCACCAGTTTTCGAGCGGACGCGCGTTGGCAACCACTACGATGCGGGCTGGCTGCCAAAAATCGGCCATTGCTACCCTTGGTACCAGAAGTCGTGCCGGATTATCCAGGACAGCACGCCCCACGAGGGACAGCCCCAGTGTATGTACCGCACATAGCCTTTTTTGGTTTTCTCTGGTAAATACAAATCGGCGCAACACTCCTAGTGTATCGAGCGCCCCATGCGCAACGACCAATGATGCGCTATGCTGCGTTACCTACTTGGGATTGTGTACTTCGTCCGATTCAACCGGTTTCGGCACCTTCAGACATTCCGATTAAGAAACAGACACGGCCACTTTCTGCGCCCAACTGACTTTAATGTCAGATCAGTCAAGAACCGAACCACGACACCTCACAAAGTAACAACACACACGTACTCAGTTAACAAAACGAACCACATCCAGATCGCTTAACGGCCTCCACCCGCCACCCGACCCGCGTTCCGTACGCGCCTCACGAACGGCTGTCGGGGACGGCGAGCTCCGCGCCTCCGCCGTCGCGTGCAACCGAGGAGCGGACCCTGCCCTGCCACGACGGCTGCCGCCCCACCCTGATCAGTATTGTCGGCGTCGCCACGCTGGCGCGCGCGGCGAGGTAAGAAGCCCCACTACGGCCGCCGCTGCCGACTCTCACAGAATCATAGTAACCGGCTGCTCGAGCAAGCCGCGGAAGACGGCCAGCCACTGGGCGCCCACCGCGCCATCCACCACACGGTGGTCGCAGGAGAGCGTGACAGCCATGGCGTCGATGGTGCGCGGCCCCGCCTCGCCCGGCACCAGCTTCTGCTCGACGCCGCCCACCGCCAGGATGCACGCCTGTGGCGGGTTCACGATGGCTGCGAAGTTCTTCACGCCAAACATGCCCAGATTGCTGATGCTGAATGTACCGCCCTGGTACTCGCGCGGCTGCAGCTGGCGGGCGCGCGCGCGCTCGGCCAGCCGGCGCACCTCCGCCGAGATGTCTGCCACGCCGCGCGCCTCGGCGCCGAACACAATCGGCGTGATGAGCCCCTGCTCGGTGGAGACGGCCACGCTCACGTCCACCGACCGGTACTGACGTATGAACGTGTCCATCCAGGACGAGTTGACGGCCGGCACCTTGGCGCAGGCCAGCGCCGCCGCCTTGATGACGAAGTCGTTAATGCTGAGCCGGACGCCGTCCTTCCCAGCGCGCTGGTTGGCTTCGGCGCGTACGCGCGTCACGTGCGTCATGTCGATGGTGGCGGACAGGTAGTAGTGCGGGATGGTCTGCTTCGACTGTAGCAGCCGCTTAGCGATCGTTTTGCGCATGGCCGACAACTCCAGATCGTCGTGCGCGGCGGACGGCTGGGCGGCAGCGGAGACCGGCGCGGCGGCGGGCGCGGCCGTCACCTGGGCGGCGCGCACGAGGCCGTCGCTGCCCGGGCGCAGCGAGGCCAAGTCCACGCCCTGTTCGGCGGCCAGCCGGCGCGCGCGTGGACTAGCCATGATGCGGCCAGTGGGAGGTCCAGCGGAGGGCGCCGGGACGGCGGCCGGAGAAGCAGCAGCGGCGGCAGGAGGCGGCGGAGCGGGCGCGGCGGCGGGCGCGGCGGCCTTCTCCTGCGGCGGGGATGGTGCTGAAGGCGGCGCCGGCCCCGACGTGTCCACATAGTCTTTGAACTTGTCGATGTCCTCCTTGTTGTCGACGATGATGCAGAGCAGTTTACCAAGCGGGATGTCCTTTGTCCCGGCGGGAACCAGAATCTTGGCCAGGTAGCCTTCGTCCGAGTTCTCGAAGCCCATGCTCGCCTTGTCGGTCTCGATCTCGGCCAGCAGGTCGCCCTCGGCCACATGGTCGCCCTCAGCCTTTTCCCAGCTGATGATGGAACCCGACTCCATGGTGGGAGAAAGCGCTGGCAGCACAATTTTGTGGTGCGCCGGCAAATCTTGGGACGAGTACCGGCGCGCCCAGGTCGGCGGCCGCGGCAGCGCGCGCGCGCACAGTGTGGCGCCCGGCGGCCGCAGCGCGTCGGCCAGCGCGCGCGTCTGGAAGGAGGCGGCACAGGCACGGCCCAGCTGGTGACGCAGCCGCGTCTGACGGCACAGCGCCCGGCTGAACGGCACGGCGGGGCGCAGCAGCATGGCGCCGGCTGGCTGGTCACCTGCTGCCAGACGCGCCACGGAGGTTAGGGTGCGAGCACAAACACGGCAGTGGACAGCGAGAGCCAGCCTCATGGCGTCTGATTTGGGAAACAGAGTTCTCTGAGACCCATCCACAGACCCATAGAATTGCACTCGTAAACAACAGTGGACAGTCAATCTACAGTGCATCTTAGAAGCAGGGCACGACTTGTGGTGCAAAACACACAAGGGCCAGACAAATCATCCAGATAATATTTCAGGGTCAGGAAACATCACATCACATCAAAACACAGCTGGCAGATGATCAGTTTGGAGTCCTCACAAACATGCCGCAAGCAGCAGACAGTGAAGTACCATTCAACATCATGTTTGGGACACCTGTGATGAATCAATCCATGAAGCAATAATTAAAGGGGATGGCAACACATCAAACATCTGGAACCAGTGGTGGTGGTGATTGGAGTTTTTGGGTATGCTAATTGCCTTGGTCACATTGCACCACCAAACATCTTGAGGACTTTGAACTAAAATTGGACAGGAATGCAAGCCTGATCTACCATGGTTGGATGATGGATGTGCCTGAACACACAGCCTGATCTACCCTGGCTAGATGACGGATGTGCCCGACCACACAGCCTGATCTACCATGGTTAGATGACGGATGTGCCTGACCCACAGCTTGATCTACCATGGTTAGATGACAGATGTGCCTGACCACACAGCCTGATCTACCATGACTAGATGACAGATGTGCCCGACCACACAGCTTGTGCCAAAGACATTTTCCACTGGGAAACGGACCTTTTGCCTTCCAAGGAGATCTGCAGGCCACCTATTCAAACTCTTGCATGAGACAAATGGCTTAGATTTTTCCCCCTTTTCAAAAGATCACTCAGGCAACACATCTGAATGAAGGCTTTTGAAATTGTAAAGCCCTGGTCTTTCTAATCGGGGTCTCCTCTTCAGCTGGTGGGGCTTGCATTCCTATGTTTTGCATGTGTAAGAACCGTGCCTGTATTGATTTCCGTGCACCAGCAGAAATACTCATTTCCTGAATCCATCGCGCAAACTGCGGTGCCACGCAAAACCATGAGGTACAAGTCCGTGACTGTATGCGTGACAGGGCTGTATCACGAATGGACGCTGTGGCTCTGTCGCTCGTGCCAGCCCGTGATTCCAGAATTGGTGCCACGGGCAGTCACGAGACAGCCCACGAGCAAACGACCCAAGCAGAAACGCAGCGTTTTCGCCGCTCACAGCTCAAACTAGCGAACGGCACCTGTATCAAACGAACGAACGACACGTGAAGTACTGAGCGGCCGCGCTTCGGATGGGGCCACAGCGTGCGCCACCGCAGTTTCATTGGCACATGTGAGGGTTTGGTGTTCACGCTCACATAGCCAAATATTGAACAGAGCCGCATTCTCCGACGGCAATGGCAGGCCCGCTTGCTACAGCAGGGGTGGCGCAGGGCACGCCTGTTCAACGTGTGGCGTTTCTGACTTCTGTGTGGCGCTACCGCCGAAATTCATGCCGCACTGCGTGGACGGACGAACGGGGTGCAGTGCAGGATGTTAAAAAAGCTCTTTTGCAACCCCATGGTTGTTAAGTCATGTACTTTAACTACTACTGCCACTTTTTGAGAGTCTGAGAATGTCCTTGCTCTGCACTCAGCAAATTTCAAAACTCGCACCTGCCCTGGAAATAAAGTTTCCAGAAAGGCCAGCTTCAGTCTGCATGTTGTGGCTGAATTATTTGGCCTCTTTTACATCATGCTCAAATTTTGGTGTGCATAAGCTCATGCATAGTGGATTGACATACATTTGTTAACAACATGACAAACCAGAAAACATAATAATCAAAAAAGATGTGAATGGTTCATTCACACTTCAAAATCATGTTGTACAGGTTCAGCCAACATCTGGCCTAGACACAAAAGTATGCTTTCTCTACACCAGACACAATTGTGTGGGGTGAGGCAAGATCTAGTTTTAATATCAAGCTCCACTCTCAGATTTGAACGGTCGCTATCTCTGACATTACATAGGTACATGCCTAAGTAGGCAACCAATCAAGTCTGTTCAGAACAAGACTTTTTCCACTAGGAAACAACTCCATTGCCCCCCCCCCCCCCTCCCCAGGCAGACCTATGGGCCCCTATTCAAAATACTGTCTCAGATAATTTTCTCAGATTTCCTCTATTTTTACAAAGATAACATAGGCAAATACACCTGAATAAAGCCTATTGGAATTGTGAGATGTCTGGTCTTTCTAATCGGGGCCCCTCCCTGAGCTGGTGGGCTTCCCGAGTTTTTTCATGGAAAAACATAGACCATCATTCTATCATTGAAGAAAATATGGTGCACATGTTTTCCCATATCAAACATGTCTCTCTAAATAAGTCATTAACATGTTTCCATGCCACATGATCCTAATACATATCACTGAGAAATGATATGACTAACTAACCAACAAATGTCTTTTGAGTTAAACAGATACATAGCTCTTACAATATTATGTGCAAGGTGTTGAAATGAGTTTCATAACCTTGACAAGGTAGCTAATAACACAAAGTAGTAAATAACACACATGATGAAACCTTACCACAGTATGAAAATCACTAAATGATGTTCAGTGCAACAATGTGGTTAACATTTGAAGCAGGTAAAAAAACATTAAACTAAAGCGCAATGAATTGTTTTCGGTAAAACCGGAACAGGTCTCGCACTCAGCAAAACGCCCCGCACAAGCTAAATCTAGCTAGCAAACCATGCCAAATTTTTATCCAGCGCACACGCCAGACATTGATGAATTTCTCTAATGCCTTCATATAGCTTCTATGTCCTGTATAAGGCTAATAAAGTAAGTTTCTCTTACGGCTGTCACTCAATAGTTTCCACAACCGGGCGTTGGAATCGGCGATGCAGCTGTCAGCTGATCGTAGTAGGGTTCGCTCACACTTCAGTTGATGGTACGGTGGCGTCACAAAGCTACAATATTACTGCCAAACTATTAACAACTTCGTAAGGGACCGCATATGCCTGGTGGGGGATGTAGAGAGGAAATTACGACACCGCTTCTTTTCTTGTGACCCAAAGGGGCTCCATGGGCTCTGAAGGGGCCCATAGCCGACATAACGGAAGCTGTTTTTAGCACCAAACGTAACGGAATTGGATATCTTTGGACTTCCAAGCGACCAAAAACATACGCAAGCGTAAGTGAAGCACCTATGAACAGACAAAAAATTATCATCCGCTGAATAAGAAAGTGGTGGGAGAAAACTTAAGGTTCATTGTGCTGCCCAGAGGTCGCTCTTGGTAGAAGTCCTAAATGCCATTGAGCGGATGAATTCGATCAGTAAGGAGTATTCCGCGCTGCCATCGTTTGTTTTGCATTTCCTCGGAAACACCCACACTGCTGTCTGGACAGCAAGGCAGGTAGGAAGGGGGGCAGACGGGTACGCGTATTTCCTCCCGACCAGACTCGCGGTGCCGGACCCTAGAATGCCAGCCAGAGGGCCCTTTTCGTCGACTGGGGGTCCCCTGAGTCAATGGGGCTCCCACCGGTCAGGGGCCTGGTCGGTCGGTTAGACAGCACCAGCACCGAACAGTCCGTCCCGTGTCGGTCTGGACCTGAGCACCAATTTCCTAAGCAAGCACAAGCATGAGGCCTGTGATTTATACTGGTCTGACCCCTGAGCCAATGGCTCGGATTGGCCAGAAGTCCACAGTGCGTAGCAGGGGACCCTGTGTTGGCAAGATGCCCCGAGTCGACGGGGCAGTGTTCAAGTGTGTCTAAAGAGAAGCCCAAATATCCGCCGAGGCTGACGATCAAGAGCCTGATTGGAAGGCGGAGGGGCCCGAACAGCTGGCTGCAGGTCACATTTAGGATCCCAGCGCATAGGGTCATGACTTCAAATGTCAATCAGATGGACCCTTGCATCCATTGAGATCCTCTGGGACAATGCGGGCTTCGAGTTAGGCCAGAGTTAGTCCCTGTTACCGACACCCAACAGTAAGCTCCGTGTCAGTCCCAGCCACGCTGGCCCATGTCTCGAGGAGGAACAAGGCCGGGCACGCGATTTGTATTATTCGGAATGCCTGAAAAAAGGAGGAACCATGTGTTGGTCAGGGGTCCGCAGTGCTGAACGGAGGGACTTTTGTCGGCAAGTCCCGTCTGGTCCCGTCTGATACCGCACGATCCGGCCAAGCCCCTTCTGGGCTCCTCCGGTCCCGTCTGGTCTCGTGTTACCCGGTTTCCCCTGATTTTTATCTGTTTTCGCCCGGTTCCATCTCCATGCACGCCGCTTCATCTGGTTCTGTCTGATCTGGTCCGATTCTTCTAAGCTGTGTGTTCCTTTTCTGTCCCACCCGATTCCTTTCCGGTCACTTACGATGCCGTTCCATCTTGTCTGATCCTGCCCGGTCGTTTTGTCCCGTCGGGTTTGGTCCGGTCCCATTCGTTCCTGTCCGGTCCATTCCAGTAACATCCAGTCTTATCCCCTTCGGTCCCGCCTGGCCACATCACGATCTATTCAGCTCCGCCTGGTCCCATTCTGTATGCTCCGCCTCGTCCCGTTGCTCGCAGTCATGCATGGTACCCTCGGATCCCGTCTTCTCCTGTCTGATTATGACTGGTCGGGTCTGATCCTATCCGGAGTCCGTGCCGCCCGTTCAGTATCGTCTTGTTCACCCGGTCTCGCCTGGTTTGGTTTTTCCTGTCAGGTTCTGTCCGGCCCCATCTGTATGCTGGCGTTGTCCTATCAGTCATGCCCACTACCATCTGGTCTCATTACATATTCATCTCAAAAATCATTCAAAGTGAGCCATGAACATATTCTTACACCACACAACTTTCAGCCATCATTTGCTACCTGACTCGCAGGGACTGAGATGTGACAAGAAGTGCCCAGGTCCTGTCCTAGCCTTGCCATGAGTAGACACGCAAACTATGACCAGGTTGGCAGGGACTTTGTGGCTCTGTGACATTGCCATACAATCAGCTGAAAGTGTTACTGAACCTCACAACAATCAGCTGATAGCTGCACCACCAATCCCTGTCACCAGCTGTGGAAACTTTGGACTGACAAACATGAGGGAAAATGTAATTAATTGACCTTGTATAGAATGCAGGTGCTATATAAAGAAGTTAAAGAAGTTGCCCATTCATAAATGTCTGGTGCTACTATTGCTAACAATTTTGTATTGTCTGCCTGCTTGATTAAGCTGATGCAGGCCTTTTTATTGAGCAGAGTGTTGCCTTGTTTTCTAGGACCCACATACAGACTAAAAATATTTAAATTATGCCAGACATAATCATACACCAGCAACAAGTCCAGCATACCAAACTACAAGCACAAGAGCCTATGTTTAATGCAGAGTTTTAAAATATTTCAAAGCAAAATTACCCACTATTTTAATGAACTACAATATTGCTGAGGTAATCCCAAGCAATAATATTCCAAACAATTTTTGGAGACAAGAATACATTAAATATCCTGCTTAGTTTGGCCTGCCCTGAGTTCCCACAAGTTTGTCCCAGGTTCAGTACATGCAAATCATGAAGGCATACTGCACACCAAACGGATTTTTTTCAGACTGGACCTGAGTTATGTACTCAATGCAAAGTTGACATTTTCAGCGCACCATCTCTACGCCGACCGCATCCAACCATCTTGCGTCCCTTCCACATTAATAAGAAGCAACAGCCTAGCAATGAGTCAATTCCTTTTCTACTTAATTATCACTACACACAGTAGGTACCTGAACGTCGTGACCACCGTCCGCAAGCTTAACCAGCTCCTGTCAATCCACAATCGCTGCCACACACCCATATAGCAAACGAATACCACTCAGCCACAACCGCCGCAGTTCGGCGAAGAAGGCATTCTGTGCAACCTTGAAAGAAGAGCACTGTAACAGGAGGCAAACCTGGTGGCCTTATGAACAGTAAAGGAAAAAACAGTTGTACTTGAACATAAGAACAGTTTTCAAAGTAAAAAATATTATTTTCTAATTTTTTAAATTTTTTTTTTATCATTTTTGACTTAGTATCATCGTATATCTCACAGTTCAGATACCATCACTGGAACGTCACTGCTCAAAGGATCTCGCGGTTTTGTAACTGTGCCAATGCACTACGTGCGAAATCAGTAACCGTGGACAGTACAATAAGCGTTGCAACCGGCGCCGCCCTCGATGTGCGCGGACGGGAATGGTCCTTACCAGTTGGCGAGGGGGGGGGGGGTGGAATGATAGGCATTCTTTGTTATTTCCTTCCAGTCAACGACTCGGGAGTGGTGATAGCGCGGAGGACGCGTAGAACGCGCCCCTCCCCCATAATTCTCAGGGCGTGGGGGACTGTCCCCTGCAACCTCTACAAGATCCGAAGCTATCGAACGCATCAATGCGCAATCTGGTGAGGCATCAGCACGAATTCCCTGTAAGTTTCCTGTATGGGAGATTCTCTGTCCAACTGTCGGCCGAGCAACATTGCCTGTTTCCTGTAACTGCCGACGATCGCCCCCACCCAACTGAAATATCCTCTACTCCCTCGACTATTTAACTTGCAGAAAAGTACGTCGTCCGCACGCTGGTGGCTCCCACCGACGAATACGTGGCGTGGCCGCTGTGGTCATTCGCCGGCCGGGTTCCTTTTCGCCCACTTTCGAGTACGCAATGTTTTAAGTTTTGAATTTTGGGCCAGCGGGCGGCTGGCTACCCATCAGCGTTCTCCGCAGGGCAGACTGAGACTAGGAGTGCAGAGCGGCCACCGATCGCGGCGGCCCGGCGGCGTCGCCCCCTTGGCCCGTTCAGCGGAGTCCCGTGGGAGCGCCCGAATGCGTGGCCCCGCTGAACAGCGGCAGGTACGGCGACAGCCACCGCTGTCGTCCCTCTGCTGCGCTGGGTGCGGCAGCCGGCATCAAGCCAGCACACGCCCGTTCACGACCCGGTCGCGATCCGGTGACGACCGGGTCACGACCCGCGCTCGTTCAGCGGGGTGCCCAAAGGCGTGTCCCCGCTGAACAGCGGCAGGTGCGGTGATGGGGAGCCATCAAAACATCCAGTATTGCAGCGCCCAGTGTTCATATCATCGAGGATCGCGGCATCCAGCGTTCCTAACGTCCAGAATGCGTCTAATTCCGTGCCCATTGGGAGCGTTCATGAGGTCCAGGGGCGCAACGTCCAGAGTCGCAAAGTCCAGAGTCGTAAAGTCCAGTGTTCAAAACGTCCAGTATCCATAGCAACCAGGCTAGTTTGGATTCCTGCCGCTAGATAACACTACAGAAGTACCTTTGAGTCCTGCCGCTCTTTCCCTCTTTTGTCAACAGATGGCTCATTCAACCTGGCGTTCCATTGATGAGCACGTGATGCGTACCGTCAAGCATGGCTACTTTAAATTACCTGGACACCTAGCGGCCGTGTCCGGCCTGGGCGCGGCCGTGCCCCGGGGCTCACCGGCGGACTGGGCGCAGACGCGCCAGGCGGCGGCGCGACCGGAGGCATGGTGGGCGGCCGGGCTCGACGGGGACCGCTGTGCCCGCGGGGCAAGCGGGCTCTCCCGCCCCGCCGCTGCTGCCGGGGCCCAAAAATGTACGAGTGCACTCGGTTGTTCAGGGGCCCTTCATATTGGTACCGGGTTCTACATATCGGGTTATTTCCACTTGCTTGGAGCACCCCGTGCTGTTGCTGGGGCCCCATATAAGGTGACGCTCCGAGGCACTCGATGCTCAGGGGCCCTCTTCATTGACCTATGGCTCGTTTCCTTTTTGTGCTGATTTGCTGAGGACCCTACAGTTGTCAGAGCTCTCTCTGTTAACTTGCTCAGACACCCTTGATCACACGGGTGTTTATTCATGTACACTGATCTTTGCTTATTGCCCTTTGTTCCGGGGATCCTGTACTCCTGCCGAACCCCATATGTTAACCCACCGGGGTGCTTCCAATCGTTCAGGGGTCCCACCATATTGGTGTAAGGTTCTTCTCGTTTGTTATGAAGACCCTTCACTGTTCACTGAAGCCTCTTTGTTGACCTGCCACGGGAGTTTCGATTGTTCAGGTGCCGTCCTTATTAGTCTCGGGTTTTTCCATATTATAGGAGGGCCTGCGCCTTTGACGGGGACCTAAATCTTAATAACTTTTATTGGGGCGTTATTTTGGGGCTTAATTTTTATTGGGGCTTATCTCACCTTAATAATTTAATGCTTCTTACCGACCCATGACTGCATTTACGGTTATGCCGATTACGCGGATGAATTCGTGTTTGTCATTGTCGAACATAATTTTACACACCGTCTACGTCGTGCATCTTATTTCCGTTGTTTATTGAATTTGTGTTTACTGAATTTGCATTGAATTTGCAATGGCCGGCAATCGCTCTTTGTTAAATCCCCTGAATGTTGGTGTCCTGTAAAATATGTGGCCTGCTGTTAAACAAGCCGAAAAATTTAGTAGGATTATCGGCAAGGAATTTTGAATTCACTTCTGCTACTGTTTAGATAAGGACATGTTGCCGAAATATCAACCCAACCATATCTTCATTCTACTGTTTTTTTTTTCTCCGGGGAATTACGCTCATACTACTGTTGTCCTGTCTTTGTGAATAATGTTCCTCGCTAGTGCATTGAACAACTTACGTAATTTATCTCGTACTTGTTCTTATATGGATCTTATTCCTACATACATCAGTTTTTGTAATGCCGGTCAGGCGCAAATAACACCGGTTATGCGGACCCAGACCGCAGGGCTCGGATTCCTAATGCGACCTCCACCGAGCCCTTTGGGCCCTTCGGAGCCACGAATCGGGTCTTTGATCGTCTGTCCTCAGAGCCCTTGGTCGGGAGGGGGCGGGGCACGGGCCCCTGTACATTTGTGTGCGCTACTGGGGGTAACTGAGCGGTGAATGCGACCCCTGAGTGACCAGGGCATCCTAGTAGTTTTCCAGTTCCCTTAGTGTCCATAGTTTGAAGGGCAACAGAGGTCTAAGTAGTTATAAGGGCCCTTGAATACTAGTGTACCCCTGCCGACTAGGAAGTCTCGACTGAGCGGCCAGAGGAGGTCCACGAGTCTACCAGAGGGGGCTTCCTGGACTGCTAGACGCTGCTACGGTATTATCAGAATTTGTGTTAGCAATATATTTTACTCTTGTCACCCAGTATGGTCATTTTTTGGACTTCACGGTTCCGAAAAGAGCTCCTCCCAGGGGTTCCTGGACCCCTTGCCCTTCTCCCCCCCCCCCCCCATTCAACATCCAGACCCCAATAGAGCTTTCAGCCGAGACTTGATGCCCCGTGCACTTCTCGATTGGGACTGAGGGACCTTTCCGTCCCCTTTTAGACTTCCAATCGGCTACTATTACTACACATGATACATTGGTCCCCTGTCTGACGCCGAAGGCCTCCTGACCGGGATGGTTGATCCTGGATCAACATGGGGTCACTCACCGACCCAAAAAGGTCCCAAGCATAGCGGGTTTAATAAATAGCACAGGGATCCTACTTCGACGCATTTGGGCCCTAGAGAAAACGGGCAGAGGGACCCTGTCCGGTGCTGGTTCCTGACTGATACCAGGCTCTTCCATAAAGACGCCCGTCAAGGAAGAGGGGCGGGGGGGGGGAGGTCCGGTCCAGCACGAGCGAGACCCCGGGATGTCCGACATGTCCGGATGTCCGGTGCGCCGGGGTGTGTACCGCGGCGAACCGAGTGAAACCGAGTCAGGGGCCTCGGGCTCTGACGCGAAGATGGCGGCGCTCCCGACTGAGGTGGCAGTGTTTCGACCGCGGACGGGCTACCCCACGGGCAGGCCTCGCGCGCATGTGGCGGGGTTCCGTTCTCAGGCGAAGGACGGCGCGCGCGTGAATTCGTTCTTTATTTGGTGGCCGGGCTGCCTCGTCCGCCGGCTCGCCGCGGACGTGGCTGCCGGCCGGACCGTCAAGCTGGGCAGCCTCTGTGCTAGTGTGTGTGTCCGAGCCCCGAGTCCAACCGATTGCGCGTCATTATTCCCACAGATATACAGTGATTGAGCGGAGGCATTAGCTGCAAATTTGGCGGGCGGTTCTGCCTGATCCGCAAAACAGACCCACAGCTTAACACTAGACATTCGTGTACCTGGCGAGAAGGGCTGTTTTGGTCTCTTCAACGCGCGTCCCCCCCCCCCCCATTTCAGTTCCCGTGACATCCAATCACGACAAACGCATCCGTCGGGGGATGCTGTATTTCAAATCATCATCTGACAAAGTGAGTAGGCTCGCACGACCTCCCCGCCGTAGCACTCAGCGGCAAGTGTCCGTCTCGCGGGCAACGATGCCCCGGCCGGCCACGAAACGTGCGACCGGCTGTGTGACTAAGTGGGGGCCGAGGGGCGAATGGAAGCAAACGCAGATTTCAAGCGTCGTGCAGTACGTGACAGACAGATAGCGGAGGTGAATTCGCTTCGCTGTTCGTTTCGATACAGGCATGTTGCCGAAATATCATGGCATCTATATCTCTTTTTTCCTCGTTTTTCACCGACGAATAAATCTATTACCACTGTCTTATCTATGTGAATAATATTCCTCGCAAATGCACTTAACACCTTAAATGTACTCTTCGATGCGTCATTGTTGATACATCATGATGATACATCATGACACCTTGCACAACATTGATTGAGAGCCAATCGACAACCGTTATATCTGGAAATCGTGCTCACGAGTGACTGATATGAACGACTATATCTTTATTGGCCTGAATCACCACACGGACTATGGAATGGCAAGGTTTTTGAGTGACTTTATTATGACGTCACGAACGCCAAGGTGATCTTGAAATACTCTCCCCGAAAAAGGCTCCTTATATTCGCGGGCATGTAGTTCAGAAACTAGAGGGGTTT